CAATTTAGAATTTCTTTATATATAATCCTATGCACCTTTCACAACTTTATCCTTTGTCAAACTATTTTTACATTTTATTCAATCACCCTTTCAACGTGCCCAGTTTATTAAAAATACCCAGCTTTTCAACGAATTTATAGAACGAAACTCCGTTTGGGCACTCAAATTGAAGGACTTTTGCTTAGCCATATCTTCCCTTTTATATCTCATTGGTTCTATCATCAAATTTCAAATTGGTTTCCATGCAGTTTTGCATAAAATTCGAAGGACTCTGGCGGCGTGAAAGTTTTCCCCTCTGGAAAATTGCTAGCTGAGAGCATCAATTTGCATGTTTGCAAAGTGTGAGCTGCAAAAACGAAATTAATAATGAATCGACTAGAGGAATCAGCATCAAACTTATCCATAACAAGCAAGAAAACAAACAAGCAACTAGGGTAGTGCAAAATGCATACTACAAGAAAATGCGGCTGCACAAAGTGTTGCCAAAAATGGAATGGAATGGAAGGCAAAGGAAAGGAAAGGAAGGGACGGAAGTTGCGAAAACTTGAGCAACCACAAAAGAATGAAATTCAAGTTGCTCGGGCAACATTAACTGAGAGCCAACAATGGTTGCTGGCAACAAGAAAAGTACAACAATAAATAGCATTATGCTAATCCAGGCCAAACAGAATGCGGCAAAAGTAAAGAAAAGCTTTTTGGGCCAGCCAGTCTTTCTGATGGCTGTGGGGTGTGGAATCCCCGGATCCCAGAAAAGGAAGCATTAGCTCCTGTCGGGGCTCGGGCAGCAGCTGCCAGGGAGACCAGAGACCGGAGCCCGGAATCGGAATAATAATTACGAGGGAAAACATCGCCAACACCAGTCCCAACTAACTAACTAGTATTTACTAAAAAATAAGTCACAACAACCACAGCAACGGCGGCAAATTGCTGGCAACCAGAGGCGAAAAAAGACTCCGAGAACGTGTCATGGCATAAGAAATAAGTATTAAATCCCCTCGAAGCACTGAGCTCGAGCTTTTTCACTGGGACAATAAACTCCAAGGCTCCAAATGAGCTTGGAATTCTGCACAGCAGATAAATTACGAGATGAGATGGGATCCAGATAAGATAATGCTAATTAGACACGATTTGCAGGAGAAAACTTGGTATTAAATAAAGGGGTGGCTAAAATTGGTTACAAAAAAGAAAGCAAGGAACTATTGGCTGGATTTTTATCTAATTGGTATCTATAAAAAACATTTTCTTACAAAAAAAAAAAAAAGGAATTATTTGAAACGTTGACCGATTTTACGTTATGTGTAGTTTTAAGCGCTTTCTCGATCTATTTAAAATTGGGAGAGTTTGTACTTCTCGCTCCCACTCATGTAATTTAAGTTTTGCTTCTTCTTCTCTTTTTCGAAGTTTTATTTGTGTGTGTTTTATTTATATTCTGGTAAAAAATTTATAAAGTTCCTCCAGCAACGTTTCCAAGAGCATTTCAATTGTTTCGAAAACGTAAATTCCAATTATTTAGATTTAGATCGCATAATTCATGGTTAGGCCATACGCAGAACGAAGATACACACACCCCACATGCGGGCAACATGTTAAATTGTCATAAGCCTTAAAAATTCCATTATGATTATTTACTCTAGTGCCGCCCACCGCCCCTTCAGCCGAAGAAGATGAACATAAAACACGAAACACAAACAAAGACACATGGACCAAGATAAGGATACAAAGTTTTCTAAACGAATAAATCTGTTTGTCCTGGTGCCAGGACACAAACACGCACGCTGCTGGTAAAAATTGTAAAATATTTTCAAACAGACACAAGCAAAGCTAATAAATGAGAACTTTTGCGCGACAACGAGAGTAAATCCCGTTTTTACAAGGATATGAAGGAGCTCAGGAGCCATTGCAGGCCAAAAGCGGGGAGGCACAACAAATCGCTGCAGGATATGCAGACAAGACAAACAAGTCACGAACCAAACCAAAGGGGCAAAAAAGGCGATAAAACACAACTGAAAATGAAGAAAAACTCGTCGGGCCGCAAAAGATTTGCAACATAAATATTTTTCATGGCAGACAAACGATAAAATAAAAACAACAACAGAAAAAAGCACAAATGGAAAACAAATGAAAAACAAAACGTGAATTGCGGCATTTATTTGTATATTAAGAGCTGATTTTTTGCGCTCAACTCTTGTGTTTGCAATGGCGGCGCGGCCATTTTGCAAAAGGCTGCAACAAAATGGCTGCCGCAAAAAACAAATTGCATTGCCTGATGAGTGTTAAGTGAGTGGGTGGTGGGCGCAAATGGGTGGTTGGGTGTCGTTACTGAAATCGCTTTTATACTTGACAATCGCGGGGGAAGCCACTAGACACTAAAGAGCTATAGAATGCATGATTTTTGCGAGGTGTCCCAATATGTATCTCTTTAAATCAGACAGCAAACATTTCTGACTTGATTATAATATATTAAGTCTATTAAAAGCAATATAAAGTGCAAACTTAATAAAAATTGTATAACTTTTTTTAAGAAGGAATAAGAAAATTAAATAGCTGAATTTTTCTTTTTTTAATAAAGATATTTTGCAAAAATATATAAAATTTTATCTTTATTTTGTAAAAAAATATTAAGAGCTAATATTCGAAAGCGTCTGCGTAATTTATAAATTAGTTTTCTAATACGATACAAATGTAGATGTAATTGCCTAATCTCAGCAGGTCATTTTCCTGCCTTGATTCCTTTACAACCATTTTTAATGGCCTTTCTTTTGCTTTATTCTTGTTTTTTTTTTAGCAGGCATTATTTTTGAGTAATATGCGCAATGCATCAGGCTCAGACGCAGGATATCTGGACTGTTCAGTTTTTCTTCCTGCCAACCACTCGCCGTTTTTGTTGTTGTTGTTGTTCGCATTTGTTGTTTAAACACACACACACTTGACATATTCGTGCTGTCTGCAGGGATTCGGGGCATTTAATTTTTGCTAGCCATTTACGGACCCCACAGGCCCCTAAGTCTTTTTGCACAACGGAAAATTCAGTTTTCAGTTTTCCGTGCGGCGACTGCAAAACTGTGCGAAATGCAGTTGAAAAGGCCGCCCCCCGTGGGCGTGGCACTGCCTCATTTTTCGTTAGCCTGTTTTTCCGTTTGCCTCTGCATGAAAAATAATTTTAAATGCCTGGCAACAACGTCTCTCTTTTGATGGTTTTCCCCCAAAAATGTTTTATGTTTGCACTTTGTAAGCGGGTTACGAGTTGAAATAGTAGATGACTTCCGAATGCTTAGCTCTAAATAATTCCTAAGCATTGGAGATCTGTGTGTAGGAAATGTAGCAATGCAGCTAAATGAGAAACACAATTTGTTTTTGACTTATGAAAATTGTTTGGGGAAAATGTTCCATTTCAGCATAAGGAAATTTCTTTAAAATAAGATATATGCATTAAATTATTTGAATTTGTTTTGCTAAAAATGATCCTTAAAATATAAGCGTCCAAAAATCTTTATCTTATTTATTTTCGAACTACCGAAATTCAGAGCACTTAGCACTTTGACCTGTTCGTATGTCCTTTTTATGGACACTTCAAACAACTATCGACAGCTCTCGATAGTTACTGCTTTTCTCTTCAGTGACAGCGTTTTTAGTTAAATTTTGCGTGAACCCTTACAGGTACTCAACTAACACATGGCCACTTATTCACCCCTCAAATATATTCACATCCAGCCCGGCAAGTGTGTCTGTCTGCTCTTTATCTAAACTAACAATCGGCAGAGTGTAGTTACATACAACATCAAAAAGCGGCAAAGTGGATACTCGACTTAGGTGCATATACATATATACTCTGCCCTTTCGCCTCCCGTCCGTTTTGGGTCATCCTTGTGTTTGGGAAATTCCAGGGTATATAAAGATTTATTTTTGTGGTCTATGGTTTAATTTAATATTGCAGTATTTATGAATTGTTTACAGACGTGTTTAATTAAAAAAATTTTTTTTGGAGTTTTTTAAAATGTTTTCTTTTTTTATCAATTATTCTAAATCTATTAAATTTTTTTGTGAAAAAAAAAACAAAATGTATTTTTAATTAGCGGGTATTTTGTAGTCTTTTTTATATTCTAACAACTGTTTCGTTGGCACCTCGGCGCTCTGTTGACGTCATAATTAGAACGAAGCCGACACAGATGCACATGACTTGGAAAAACAAATTGCACTCTGGCCACCCAGCCACCTTGCCACACCCACCTCAAAGTTCACCTGTGGCAGATTTATGACACCGAATAACCCCATTCCGCCCCCAATTCTCCGCACCTTGTCAACCCCTTCGTGTGCTAGATTTGTACATTTTCGTGCTACATTTTAATTTCTCTACATGGAGGTGGGTGGTTTTGGTGGGTGGGCGGTTTCTGTGGGGTGTGTGCTGAAAAACTCATTAACTGTGCACGCTACTTGGCACCTTTTCTCTTCTCTACCACTCTTCGCTGGCTTTCTTTTTCCGCCTTTTCCCCCATTTATTCCTTCCTGCCTTTCATTTTCTTTTCGCCTCGCCTTGTCCTCGCTTTCTTCATTTATTTTATTTTTTGCCAGTTCTTACGGTTTTTCATTTGTGGGCGAAGGTCGCTAAACTTATCTGCATGGCACAAAAAAAAAAAACAATTTCTGCGACTCCCCAATAGGAGGGCGTGGTCATGTGCGTGTGATATTTGTTTGTGTGAGTGTGCACACACACGATTGCACAATAAGCCGATTTAAGAGAGCAGAGGGTAAGCGAGACCTACATTAAATCGAGCACAAAATGTATGCATGCGAAATTGAAAAATGTTAAAATGAGGGATAAGACGACAGTACAAATTGCGTTCAATTATTAAAAAAGCGTCTATAACAAAAATATGGTCTGTTGGTCCCATATAAGTGCTAAAAAAACAATTTAAAGAGTTCCTTAACTTTTTAAAATGAATAAATATTTCTTTTGTTATAACCTTTAACTAATTTCTTACAACTTTTTTCTCTCTTTACAGAAATGACTGACTTTTTATCCCTCAACTTCTTGTTTCCCGCTAAATAAACAAATCCCAAAGACGAATTAAGCCCTGTTATACCAAAAAGGAAAAGTTGTTGAATAAAAAATTAATCAATATATTTGCCACACAAAATATCAATTTAAAGATTAAAGTAAACTCAGATGCAGTAACTCTAAAGCACGCACAACCAAGCCAAATAAAAGCAAAATCAAATCCATTTAAATACAATAAAGTTAGACGAAAAGCACACACAGAAAATCAACAATAATAAATGTTGCAAATTTAATCAAACCAACTGGAATTTAACTAAATTTTATGCAAAATAGAAATGTTAAATTTACACAACACAAACCACAATAACAACAGCGCCAAGAACAACAACTGCAACAAAGGCCACAAAATGCATTTGACAAGTGCAACGGCGGCTAAAGCAACAATAATGAAACATAAGTTAAGCAAATTTTACGGATATGGTTGGATGCAAGTCTTCCTACTACTTACAGTCCTCGTGATTGGTAATCAAAGTGCCTGGCAGGAGAATATACGACCAAAACTCTACGTTGAATTAGGTAAGTAACCGAAGAATTTATACAAATATTTTTATCAACATTTATTTTGGTAGAAACAATTTAAGGAAAATAATAAAATACGAATGCAAACCAGAAATTTAATTTAGGCAAAATCATTGTCACAATATTTGGGTTTTCAAGAAATACAATTTACATATTTATTGGAATTTTTCTCCACAATAATCAAATTTATTCGTCATGTTTCAATGTCAGTCAAAGGAAAATGTCAAGAGAATTGGCAGTGTGACTTTCCGAGGGACATTCATTGTAACCAAATTAAGACTAAAGCAAATGTCAATTTAAATTATGAGTACTAAAGGATCCAGAGTTAGATGCAGAGAAGGCAAATCGAATCGAAGTCAACTGCCAAAAACTTTAATGACAACATTTTTATGAGCTCCAAAATGTAATTTGACTGCCAGACTCACATGCTGCCTTGCAAGGGCAATAGGAAGCCGGAAGATAGTTGGAGATATTCCGTTAAAGTTTGACATCCCAACGACGCCGCCGCCCAACTCATCAGGAAACCTTTTTGCCATCCTTCGAAAGTATCCACTTTTGGCAGGTGAAGAAGTTTGCTCAAGAAATGAAGCAATAACTTGGACAAAGCGCAAGTGCGAGCAGAGGAGACGTAGCTACTAATGCACACACTTTTTGAGATATATCCAGACATCCACACGTTTTGCTATCTTAACTATAAATAACAAAAATTCCTGGAAGACATTATTTGCATAAAAGTGGCGAAGCTTTCAGTGCTGAAATGAGTCTTGTGTGGAGGGGAAAGTGGGGTAGTTGGGCTGCTGGGTTGGTTAGCTGTTGCCAGCAGCTGTTTCCAGTGTCCTGTGTCCTCAATGTGCGACATCATCATCATCCTCATGATCGTCGTCAGGAGTTACGTTGCATATGCAAATTTTGTTCCTTACCCATTTTTTTTGGCCAAAAAGTTGGGCGACTTCTTCATCGTGCTCACGTAGGTCGGAGACAGATATATGCATGCTATATACATGTACAATGTACATAGTCCTGGATACATATGATGTACATATATCTGCACCGCTTTTTGTTTGTGCAAGATGAAGCAGAAAAAGTTGCCAGCAGCAGATGGAGAAAAAGTCGAGGCGAGCCTGGAGTTTGGCGAAGAAGAACTAAATTCTAAAAATATCTTGTGCACGCTTCAGAAATTACGTTATTAAATGTGCATTTGGCACACTCTAAAATGGGAACAGCAGAGGCAAAAACCAGTCTTCGTACGAAAATGTTGCATTCTTCAAGACAATTTCAGCATCAAAGATATGGAGTCAAATCTTTCTGAGAAGGGGTTGGAAAAGATTCCAAGCATGCCAGGAAGTAGTTCACCCAAATGTGTTTTAAAAATGATACCTTACCTATAATTTTGAATTAAGCACCACATTTGGGAAAACACTAAAACTGTCAGCAGAAAGATATAAAATGAAATGGTTGAAAACAAATTTCATGATCAGGAAATGACTTCTGGCTTCGGGAAATCGAATTTTAAAATGATTTTATTTTCGATAGTTACTTTTGCATATATGGCATTTCAGACTAGAAAGTCAAAATAAAAGTTGATAAACAATTATATTTAGTCTTTAGCATATGATATTGATTCTTAATAATCATAATTTGATTCCTAGAACCCCCTTCTGAAAATGTTCTCTTTCTGCAATGCAATTGCAATTTCTTCATGCTCAATATCTCATTAGGAAACTCATTTCTCTTCGCCAACTGCTGTTGCCAACTGGAATGAAAATTTTTTGTTATTAGTTTAGCTGTAAAATCAACTCAAGGATAATCTGTGAAGCGAACCTGTTAAGCCCCCGACCCCGACAATTACACTCGCGCAGTGCTAAACCAATTACTTAGCTCCGGTCCCCTTCATTCCGCACTGTCAGGGGACATTGCACGTGTTAAAGTTCATTTAAAATCCATCAGGGAGCCAGGGGAGGAGAGTGGGCACGGAAAAGCGTCATTTCAACGGGGTGGCTGGGTGACAATTTCTTCTTCTTCTTTACGCTGTTTGGGGCACTCGTGCATAACAGGAAAATAGGGTTAATGGGGAAATTATGAATGTGCCCAAGGAGGTGCAGACCAAATGAGCAAGGGTGCTGGTGAATATGTGAGTGGGACCATGCATTCATATGCCATTGTTGGTCAAAGGAGCGAAAAGGGTGTATATACTTGAGTAGAGTCTTTCGACCAAAAAATACCCTTTACCCATCTTTTAGGAAAAGCTGGTAAGCTATTGTAAAATCAATATTGGTTTCTATCCCTAGATTCGAGTTTTAGGAAGGAGTTTCAACTAGGATAGAAAAAATGTACTTCAAATTACCACGGATCTTTTTACTTGTCAAGACGTATTTTGTGCTTTTAGCATGTACTCACCTTCAGAACGTACCCCCTTGTACATACTTACTGGGTATAATAAAAACCAACCACCCCTTTTTTCAACGCAGTCTCCTTCTATCGTTGCCGCTTGGACCATAAAATATTACAACCCTGCGTGGCCAGAGTTGCATTTGACAGCCGCAAGTGGTTGTCATTAGGAGCTGCGACAAAACGGTCATTTAAATGCACTCTTCTTCTGGCTGTCGCTGATTCTTCTTCTTCCACTACTTGTACGCCAAAGTGGGCGCAACATTTGCGGTAAAATTACGTCTATCAAGTGGGCGGCCAGGGGCGGAAGCTAATGCTGATCGTTCTGCGGCACTTTTGCGTTGCTGAAAATCTCCCCTTCTTTTCTCGCTAAATTTTGTGGACATTTTGTAAAATGTTTCTTTTGCTTATTTTTTGCTACGTGCTAAGATTTTGTGATTACCGCAAAACCAATCTGTGGCCAAGTAAAAGACGGTGAAAAGAAGGAAAGTACATCCAATGCAAATTTACTTTCGTGGAAATTTGGTTATCGAGAAGTGATGCATTTTTTCTAAAACTAAAATATTCGAAAGTACAATAAGTTTAAAAAAAGTTTCATAAAATATTTAGCACCTGGGAACTTGTCTCTATCAGGTCGTGCCTGTTAAATTAATAATTTCCGGCCAATTGAAGCCCTCGAAGTTGAAGTCACCCAGATGCTGACCAAAGTTGCCAGCATCGACTTTAAATGACACGAACTTCCGTTGGCAGCCAATTAGGCGAGCGAAAACTGCATTACTGAGGTTCCCCACTGAGAAAAATTAGGGTCAACAAAGATATCTCTTAACTTGATACATGTCAATAAATTGACAGACTTTAAAAAATAAATTCAGATAACGGCATCAATAAAACTACAAATTATGAGTAATAAATGACTTTCCACAACGAAATGATGATGCAATTATTTCTGTGCAAGGACAGTTACTTCCTGTTTGAACAGAGTCTGCGGCCTTCGTTGAAAGTCGCCCGAAAATAGTTCTGTCGCCGACGTCTTCGACTTGGCTGTTTTTCTGGCCGTCATTAAAACTGTCTGCAACGTGTCAGAACAGCAAACATAACTGTTAATTGCCATTTGTGCGCGAAGTCGGAATTCCCCCCCTTTTTCCGGTTTCACTCGGTTCCGCCGGCACTTCGGTCTCATTTTCATATTTCGCCGCATGCGCCTCATTACAATTTAATTCACAATGTAATTGCAAGCGTTGAGTGGAATGAGAATGGGAGTGGGAGTGGGAGTGAAAGGGTGGCACATATATATATTTGTACAAGTCTAGAAATGAGGAGTTTTGGGGCAACTAAGCAGCGGGAAGGAAAGTAAGGAATGCAACCACCGACTTGGCGAAAAGTTTTCTTGCAGTTTTGCGCCACTTGACACGCGCCTCGCATAATTTCCACACGTCTTGTGTGCCGCAAAACTCGCATATGTATGCACTATTCGCCGCCCCACAGTTCTCAACCCACTACAACCGACCATTTTCCCCACGTTTCATTTCATTTCCTTGCCATATGCATTTTTGGCAGTCGTCGAAAGTCGAAAAGGGCGGAAATGCGACAACTACAAAAATGCCCCAACTTCGTTTAGCTTTCGTTTCGCATACCCCTCAACTTTCTGTCTGGCTTTGTTTCCTCTTCACTTGTCCATATTTACGTATTACTTTGATTCCATTTATATTTCTGTTAAATAAATTGTGAATTGATAATCGTCGCTGTCATCGTTTGGCTCTGTCTATATTTCGTTTGTTTAAATATGTGAGACGCATAGTTAATTTGATGATAGAGATTACGAAGGATTACTTAAGACGACCTGTAAATTGTGTTCTTAGGAAAAACTGAACATACATTTTTGTTTTATAATAATAAAGTATTTGAAATATTTTATAATAAAATTGGCGAACGATTTAAACGATAGGAGAGATTGTGACTTCAGAAGAGTAGATTATTAAAAATAGGAAAAACTAAACAATAAAGTTCTTGTAAACCAATAAATCCTTTTTGTAATTAATAAAATTTTTTATTTATTGTTTTAATTTTTAAGATATTTTAAAGTTGCAAAACTGTAAAATTCGATGGGATAAGTTTCTTCCCTTAACAAAAAAGGCTGTGCCATGAATTGGAAAGATTTAAAAGATTTAAATACGTGATATATTTTTCCCTCATTTATCTAGGCTAACATTTGAATTGGGCACATTTCGGCCATGTAATTTGAAATGGGAATTACAAATCACTGGGTTGTGCTTTAAACAAAAAAAAAAGGCAGAGAAAAACGAAGCGGAAGAGTAAATCCGAAGGGCACACCCAATCAATTATATAGACAGCAATTTTACAGCCCCCACTGGGCAGTGTCGTTCCATCCTCTCCTATAACCCATACCCTATCCATGCCTCACCCGAAACCCCGCCCCATGAATTCGTGTCCAGCCTCCCAACACTGCACTTGGGTTCGTGCGAGTGTGTCTGTGCAATTGGAACATTTCATGGATTAAACGTTTTCTTAATTGAGTGCCTCATTTTCCGGTTAGGAAGTTTTTCATGCCGAGAAAATAAATTACACACATGAGTGCAATTTGGTAGCGC